AGTAAATATCCACGAGCACGTGTTACATAGTGCAACCAAGAGATGAGACTAGAGGGTTGTGTCAGAAGAGATGTATAATTAGACTTAGAGGGACATCATGCATATTGTATGTTCATAAGCATAGGGTTACTTCCCCTAGAGATGATGAGTACAGACGCGCACCGTATGATGAGCGCGTATGCACACAGGTGCGAATGCACACAGATGAGGGTATTCATGAGGTGCATGACACTATGGGGTTCCGCTGACCTCCGGACATCGCTACAGATTAGTTTGACCAGAGGGTCCAGGGGGTGTGGGAGCGCCTTGGGGGTTCACACTCGCACGTGAGTCGTGTGTAGGGAAGTACTACACATCCAATTTGTCCGAGACTGGAGGCCACCCTTGAGATGATTAGAGATAGGTCCCTAATTCATGATTGCATTTGTTTGCATTAGCATGACTCCTATAGTGGAGTCACTTACTAAGTATTTCTTCGAAATACTCACGCCGTGTACCATATTGCTTTCAGGTAAAGACAAGGCTCCCATGTACGATTGACGATGGCATCGTGATCAAAGACTTTGGTGCGTGCATAAGATAAGATAGTAGCATATTTAAAATTCCTAGACTTTGTTAGGATAGGTACTTGCATTTCATTTATTTAAATTATTTAACTTGTAATTATTTTTATCATATTTTGAACTCCAGTATGATGTTTGAAACACGTAAGTCCGGCGGTGTTTTCTAATGTTTTAACGTATTCTGAAGGTTTAAATTTTTCCGCTAACAAAGATGGGCATTTCTTAGAGTTATTTTCTCCACTAGAGATGAGCATAAGACGTTAGTGGCAACTCTAGATATGTGGAAATTTAGAGTCGTTACAGAGTGATGTACCAACAAGGATGTTGGGCCCCCAAAGAGGTGGATTGTGAAATCCCACGTCAATTAGAGAGGGAAACAAAACATTTCTTATAAGAATGTGAAAACCTCTCCCTAATAGATACGTAAGTAAGTGTGTGTATGGCTAATTCACGTACAAACTTTAACTAAAAAAACAAACAATATCAATACATCCAAAAAAAAAAAATCACTAGATTCAATAATCCTGAAACTTTGAAATTGTTGGACACAGCAAGTTCCGAAGCAAGTACATCTACTAAAGATTCAGATCTGAGTATTGCATTCTAAAACAAATGTTAACAACCATACCATATGTCACTAAATATTTTAATAAAGTAATAACATACTTTATAGTAATTGGAGAAGTTGAGAGATCATTAGTCAAAAGTGATTTGGTTGTTAGTTTGGAATTAGTAGTGCACACCTCACTGATTAGCAGAATCTACCACTCCCCTACTCTTTTATATGTCCCTCTCTTTTTCTAACACCAATTTACAAAGTAATTTTAGGGTCCCATTGCCATTTTCTAGATCTCTTAGTGGTGGTTCAAACTTTTATATTTGCTAGAAAGATTATGAGTTTTTTATTTATTTAATTCTATCAATGCACTAATTTTCAACTCAACTTTAATATAGTATAACTAATAACATTATAATCTTCAAACCCCTGAGACTCAAAAAATAAATAATTATAAATCAGTACTTTTTTTTTTGTCATATTAGTTGACTAACAACATAAACTACTCTTAAAACTGGCTACAAGCTTCCTCTCCTCAAAGCTAGTTATCCCCAACTTTCTTCAATTTCAACCCATCAATAATGTGTGTTCAAATATTGAACAATATAGCTACACAATCTCTTTCTATAATCTTAAATTTGGCTAAATTTTCATAGGTTTAGTACAATCCTATTAGTTAAATTATAAATTTAGTCTATAAAACTTTTCAGTATAAAAGATCCAAGTTTAAAAATATATAATGAGTTATTTAACTTTAAATTTGGTATATAATAGATATTTAACTATATTTTTAAAAATTAATTTATCCATTATATATAAAATTGAATTGAATATCTAATATACTTCTAAACTTTCAATTTCTATCGACTCAAATAGGTCAATGATATATAAGACACAAAATATATGGAGAACATAAAAAATTTTAAAAACTTTTCAAATTAAAAAACCTATACATACAAACTATAAATCTCCAGACCTTTTAAATTTAAGAGGCAAATATCATACCTCTACAAACATTATTATTTATGTTTGAAATTTGAACTCGAGTGAGTGACATCTAATAAAGAAGTGAGTAGAGACTTTTGATTGATGTACAGGTAGTTAATTCAGAGAATTATTGGAGTTCTCCTGATCTTATTCCATCATGCGATCATAAATAGTTGAAGGGTAAGAAGATACGTACAGAGAATGAAAAGAACACGTCCTTCGAAGTTGCTCACACAGTGTGCCATTTGATTTGACAGAATAGAAGTGGTCAGAAGCCAATGAGCAATGGACGAGATGAGGTTAGATGAGATCATATCACATCATATGGGCCATTCAATAACCTGTTCCTGCGTCAGCAAAATTAATTAAATTAGTTCTTTTGTAATACAAGGAAAGGATGATTTGGAAGTTGCTTCTAATATTGGGAATTCGGATTCTTCAGCTTAACTGGATTCCATAGGATTCCCTCTTCCATGCCCCACTTTCTGATACCTTTCTTCTTCATGTATAATTCATGTTGTGGCTTTCTCTGTGTTTGGTTACATCATCTAAACTTGAGCAAACTCTATCTCTCCTCCTAAATCATTCATCAAACCACAGTTTACTTCAGTATGATATTTACTGGCATAGAATAAATCCAAAGGATCGTATTCGAAATTACAAACAATTATGAGGTTTTTGAATTATAGTGTAGAGTCCGCCTCAAAATTGGAAAGAGAAAAATAATTTTATCTCCTATTTTATGGACCTCACAACTTACTTGAGAATCATGTAACAGTATCATTCAATCTCTTTCTACTCTACCCAGAATTATTAAATAAACTAACAATAAAAATCAAATCATGTCCTGTGTAAATAATTGCTCTTCTATTTTAGAAGTTTACTAGCATCTTTTTTTAATGGGTTAAAACCAAAGGGGGTGTTTTGATAATTATTATATTATGTTCGATTAACTTTCTTAACACAACCAAGCATAGGAATAGTAATATAATTTCACTTTTAAGTAATTCTGATCAAATGAAATCAAAGGAATGCCAGTTTTTATTGTTCTCATGCCTAGTTTTTATTGTTCTCATGCCTAGTTTTTATTGTTCTCATGCCTAATTTTTATTGTTCTCATGCCTAATTTTTATTATTCTCATTCTATATTAAATATGAGGGGCTATAAATTGGTAAAAGGACCGACTCAGTTCAAATCCCCTACTCTCCTTTTTAACTCTGTAAAGTTAAAATAAAAGAAATATTTAAATATTGAAAAATAAAGGTGAAGCTTTCAGAATTCCTATTAACTTCCTAACCTCCTTTCCTTTTCTTATGGAAAGCAAAGAGGAAAGTGGAAGAGTAAGGTAACCTAATCCAGGTATAAACTTAATTAAAAGTCATTACAAAATCAGACGTTTCTTTTAGGTTTTTTAAAACGTATTTTTAGGTTAAATTACAGGTTTATTACTAATTTTGAAAGTTATTTAATGAATCTCTAAATTTTAAATAATATTTAATAGATCTTCTCTTAAATTTAAAAGCAAGATTATAAATTTTCTAACACAAAACTGACAATTTTACTCAGCCTATTAATTACTTTTAATTTTAATTTTTTTTTTTAAAATACAAAATAAAAAGTTTAACGATATGTTAAAAGACTTTTTAAAAGTTGCCTTGTTACATAATTCATATACTAAAGTTTATAATTTAATCTAATTACAAAATGGTTATGAAGTCCGAAATTGATTCCGCGCTGTATTTTTCAACAACAGCATGGTCTTATGCGGGTGGCCAAGAGACCATCGTTGGCCTCCAGAGAAGAACAAGAAGAAGATAAATATAATATAATTTCAGGGAAAAAGGATTGCGTACCTCCATGACTGACTGGGGTCCATGAATGAAGAGTGGGTTTTTCTTATTTCTTGTGCTTCCTTGATTCACCAACAATCGACTCCTCCATGCGAAATTACGAATAAATCCCAACAAAGGATTGAAATAGATGCTTTGCTTTGAAGGAGCAAAGACCACGCCTCGAAGCCAAATGCTGAAGCCAAATGTTAACATAAAATTAATGTGGGAAAGAAAACCCAAAAGAAAAGAAGAGGACCAATAGATGATCCAGAAGAATACTCCCAAGACCATTTTCAAACCCTCTTCCGAAAATCAAGCCTTCAACATCAATGACGTAAAGAATCACCAACATCTTGGCGTGCTGGGTACAACTGAAAGCGTCAAATTAGATAATAAAAGCAAAAAATACACACAAATCAACGTCTTTTGTTTGATCAAAGATTCTTATGCTTTGATCAGCGAGCAGTGCAGAGAAGAAAGATATATTTATATAGAGAAGAGAGAGAAATTTGTCTTCACAGGTGTTGCGGTACATATGTTAATGAGAAATAACTGCAGAATTAGCTAACCTGGGGAAGTCCGGAGAGCACTTCCTCGACGGCATCTTCGGTTGCATCCATGAAATCACCGCAGCCCTAGCGTTCGCTAGGATGAGTGACTCGGCATACAGAGTAGAAACCACATCCCGTCTCGCGCAATGGAGGATCGAGAATCTAGCTTCCTGCACCTACCGCAAATCCGATCCCTTCAAAATTGGCAAGTGGAACTGGTAAATTTACCTCTTTCCTTGTTCTTTATTTTCGTTTGAAGCTATAATTCCAGTGATGAAGGGTGAGGATAAGATTCTATCCATCTCTTTTTAAGGAGATATAGTGATAAGAATCTGCTTTCCCCCCTTCTTCTTGGAGATTTTAATGCTTTTTGTTCTCTATCCAAGCAGGATAGGAATATATGGATGTCTAATATTTTTGTTCGGATTGAAGGCATTTATCAGTGGAAAAAAACAGGCTTTTATATGTTAAATTATACCCAGAGATATCGAGCTTAACAAGGGACAATCCCCCAATTGTATCTTTCACCATCCGAGTGGTTTCCTCTGCAGGAGGTCGGAAGGCTTGGACTCATCCAGGTAATTTCATTCTCGTTCTCTGAACATTTTCAAGGCAGAGTAGTTAGTTTTCAGATTGAAAAGTCTATTCACCTTCTACTATATCTTCAGATTCTGGTTCATGAATATAAGTTGAAATACTTGACTGATGGGTGAACATGTCTAATCTCTGCTAAGAAATTTGGTGAAGTGTTTGGGCCTTCATTTCTTATCCTTTTGCCTCCCCTTGTGTGTGTGTGTGTGTGTGTGTGGAAGGGGGAGGGGGAGAAAGTCTTAATTTCCAGAATTTCTTCTTTTCTCTATGACCTTCAGTTCCTCTATTGACCAATGTTGTTACCCCACCACATCCATGCAGACATAATAGACAAACAGCTTAAGAACAACGACGATTTTATTTGGCCAATTGAAGTTCCATTAACAGGAAAGTTCATCATTGACATCGAATTCATTGACTTGAAGATTGCATCGCCCGAGGTGAGCTTATAAATATCTGTCCATTGCGATTGCGTTCTTCCAAAAATGATTGTGGGGTTAACTATAATGCAACAATCCAAGGATCATTGATAAAAACAAGCCACACACAGAAGCAGTCGACAAAAGTTATGCCTGATTATTAAGAAAAAGTAGTTATCAACGCCTATGTTTAGGAAAGAACTATTTGGATACCTTTTGTTTCACTCCTCTTTTAACCCCATTGCTATTTGGATACCTTTTGTTTCACTCCTCTTTTAACCCATTGTTGTCAAATTACTAACAGGGTGGGGAACCTTCCTCCATCTGGACTAATGGACTGTCACAAAAACGATCAAATGAACGAGCTCTTATTTCGTTGGGTCGAATGTTGAAGGAAAGCATCCACACGGATATTATAATTAATGCTTCTGATGGAAGCGTTGGAGCTCATCGTGCTATTCTTGCTTCACGATCACCGGTTTTCCACAGCATGTTTTCACATGACCTGAAAGAAAAGGAACTATCCACAGTAAACATCCCTGATATGTCCTTTGAAGCTTGCCAGGCTTTTCTTAATTATATGTATGGTAATATCCAACATGAAGAGTTTCTCTCCCATAGACTGGCACTTCTTCATGCAGCTGATAAATATGACATGGATGACCTAAAAGAAACCTGCCATGATAGTCTGCTAGAAGATATTGATGCCAAGAATGTTCTTGAAAGACTCCAAAATGCATCACTTTATCAATTACCAAAACTGAAGACTTGCTGCATGCAGTATCTTGTGAAGTTTGGTAAGATACTAGACATCCAAGATGAATTCAATGTCTTTCTACAAAATGCAGACAGAGATCTAATAGCTGAGATCTTCTATGAAATTCTTGATATCTGGAAAGGTTTCTAGCTTGATGAAGGTGGTGGTTAATGTTGGCGTGTACACATAAGATTGCTACGAGGATTTAGTGTCATAATTTGTTACTTTGAAGGTGATTCTTTCTCCAAATTGTTTGTCCTGATATTAGTAAGGTTTCTCATGATAGATTGATGGTGTTGCAATTGAATGAAATGTAAATAATTTGATGTTCTGTGTTCGGAATTTTATTCCTATATAGTTTAGCGTTTTGCCATCACAAGATCTCACAATACCCTTGATATCCAAAATGCACTAGAAACCTTTTGCAAAAGAATGCCAACCCGATCGTGCAGAGGTTACAGACTTTTAGGTGGAGTTTCGGTGGCAATTAGGTTGGCCTCAGGCTAACATTGTCATATAACAAGAAGAACAATATTGAACCTCATACCGAAGCAAATATGAACTTAAAGCATGTATGGCTGACAGAATCAGAAAAGAATTTACAAAAACCTAACCCACCTAGAAAGTAAAGAAGAACACATCAACCCAATTCTGCAAGCTATTACAGAAACGAACACCCCCCACCCACACAGACACACAAGCGCACACTCACAAATGTAAAATCCTCCAAAAAATGGATACAAACAAAAGCTTCAACCAATTGCAGACCAGCAGACCGATCATTACATTACCAGCATATTCTATTCCTCCGAATTACAATCACAACATCCAACATTGAACACAGCAAGTATACGTGTCCAGAGCATAAGAAATCAAAGGAAAACTCAACAGAATAACCAAACATCCTACTATCACTACTACCTCACAAGCTGCTCCCAGTCCACAAACTAATCACCTAATTCAAAACTCAATCAAAAGCAAAACGCTCCAAGGTAGAATTCCCCACAAATTTCCATCTATACACTTCTGAACACAACTTACAAAACACATTATAACTCAATAAACTAATTGAACAAAAACATCACCTCAGCGAGAAGATCAACGATGCAACTCCATCCACACTGTTGGATCGGTTCTTTACGCCGAAGAATCGCTCTGAAAAGGCTCCACCTCCGGCAGATTGAGAGAAGTAAACAAAAGGAAGGACGGAGTTTACCCGTTGGAAAAGAAGAGTAGAGGAATCGAAAATGCAGAGAAGAAGGAGACCGGAAAATGAGGGGGGGGG